CCTGGAACAGATTTATTTTGCTGTTTCAGAGGTCGGTGGTCTGTGGTGTCTGTCCTTGGTGTCTGGACAAGGAAATGCCTGCTCAGTGACTAAGTTGGGGTTCTCCACATCAGCAAGGCCCTCACTCAGGATTGGCCAGGGATATGGACCGACCCGACTGCACCTTTAGAGCCCCACAGCTTTCCTTTGCAAGATGACTGACCAGAGGTGAAGGTGGATTCTGTGGCCCTGGAGCCCAGGAAATTAACTTGTTCCTGTGTGAGTCAAACGTTGGATTTGATCTCAATTATTTCCAACCGTAAGCAATCGGTCTTGTGTTCAACGCAGGGCAGGCTCAGAGCTGTCCGGTTATTTGTCTCTACCTTGCTCGGTGCAAGTGTTATTTTGGAGAAAACTTCCTTTCTGCCTGAGAAGCAGGCAATGAAAGGGAGCCACTGGTAGACAAGAGTCTCATTCTTAGGCTTTGCTAACCTCCAAGGCAGAGTCTGCGCCTTGTTTGCTCTGAAGCCGAATGGCACCTATTGAGTTCCTTTCTATAGCACCTATTAAGTTCCTCTCATGTTAGTAGCTGGTATCGCTTACCTTATTGTAACTGTTGTTTCCTCTACCAGATTGTAAATTACTTGCAGGTGGATATTTTGTGTTAATTCATTTTGGTATCCCCAAACTTAACATAGTAGCCACTTGTATCAGTTACCTCTTGCTGTGTAACAAATTACCCCAAACTCAGTACTTTAAAACACAAGCACTTACTATTGTGGCTCATGTGTCAGCAGATCAGCTAAGGGTTGGCTGCTAATCTGTCCTGAACTTGACTGACCTCTCAGCTGGGTTCATTCGTGCATTTGGGAATCATCTGGGGTCACTGCTCTAGCCTGGGCTTGGCTGGTGGAATTTAGCTGAGGCAGCTCTGCCGCACACATCTCTCATCCTCCTCACAGGGCCAGCGAGCTAGTCTGGGCATGTCTTTCTCATGGCCATGGCAGAAGATCAAAACAGCAAAAAAAAAAAAAAAAAAAAAAAAGCATTAAGGTCTCTTGAGACCTAGTTTCAAAACTAGTACTACTCTGTCACTGTTATCTCATTCTATTGGACAAAACCAGTCTCACGATCAAGGTCACCCCCAAGGTGGGAAAACAGACTCTGCCCCTTTGGGGTAGTCACACTGCAAAGGATGAGCCTAATTAACCTAATTGGGCACACTCCTTAACTCATAACATTAGCAAATTCAGGTTCAGCTTGGCCCCAGTTCTTTTCTCAGTCAGAGGGAAGTTAGCTGGGTGCAGTGGCTCACACCTGTAATCCCAGCTACTCAGGAGCCTGAGGTGGGAGGATCACTTGAGGCCAGGAGTTCAAGACCAGCCTGGGCAACGTAGTGAGACCCTGTCTCTAAAAAAGAGGGGGAGGGATTAAAGGATTCCTTCTTTGGTGCAAACCCAGCATTGATCCAAGCTTGCCTCCTCAAGCCATCTGGTTAATGTCTGGCACACAGCCTAGGAGGTGATTTGAAATGGGTAGGAGGGGCTCACAATATCCAGGGATGAGACTCCTGTCCTGGAACTACTCCCTGCAAGCTAGGACCTGCTGAGTCCTGAGAAATAGCACTGCCGCTCCCTGCCTGGAACTTTACACATGCCCTGCTCTGAGATTCCTCTTTGTTATGCTCCTACCACCATCCAAATCATCCGCCATTCCTTATTGGATGTTTGTTACCAAAGGCTAAGCACGAGGGTCTTGTCTACGAGTGGAAGCCTCTTTCCTTGCCTGCACCTGAGTCTTTTGCCTGCTTTCATGAAACTGTCAAGTGTGAGGTCTTGAAACACAGGCTTTGTATGTCCAGTTTTCAGCAGTCTGTTCTGCTGTATGATAAGCAGCCAAACAGAAGCAAAACAAGAATAAACCTTGCTTTTTAAAAACTGCTTTCCTAAGTTTATTTCCTTTTGTCCTATTAAGAGACTCATGTGATGAGAGAACTTTCAACTGAGAGGACCAAACAGGAACAGATAATGTGATAATGTAGGTTACTTCCCTGAAATCAACCACCAAGCAAGTAACCAAGTCCTGGCCAAAACGAGGGTCACCTGATGACTAGCTAAGATTCTTTTTCCTGTCCTCTGACTCTTCTCAAGGTTAGTAAAATTCCTAAGAGCGACTGACGGAGGCAGGCACATCATAGTGAGGAGTGCGCTATGTGTTAATGAGTCATTGAGGAATCCTGTTGGCCCCTATCCTTTTCACATGCACATGTCTGTCCTGACTCCATGAGGCATCAGAGGGATTGTAAAAGGCAGATCACCCACACACTTAGATAATGTATATGACAGTGGTTCTCAAAGAGTGTCCCCAGGGCGTCCAAATCCACATCACCTCTTTACCTGGCCTTCACCCCACAGCTACCAAATCAGAAATTCTGGGGATAGTGTGCCCCACAGTCTACATTTCCACAAACCCTCCAGGGGATTCTAAGTTTGAGAACCACTGATCCAGAGATTTCTAAGCCATCACCAGCCTAGGGGTGATGGCTTTGGTGGTATATGGGGTGACTGAAATAAAGTTCTCCTTAAATACATCAAGAAGCCCTTCCCATCTCTACCAGTACTATAGTCAGACACAGGAGAGAAGGTGGAGAATGGATTTAAGAAATTTGGAGGGTTCTTACTGTTGTTGTTGTTTTAATCTGACGGGCACGGGTCAGACACAGGAGAGAAGGTGGAGAATGGATTTAAGAAATTTGGAGGGTTCTTACTGTTGTTGTTTTCCAATCTGACAGGCAGGTCGGACACAGGAGAGAAGGTGGGTGGAGAATGGATTTAAGAAATTTGGAGGGTTCTTACTGTTGTTGTTTTAATCTGACGGGCACGGGTTGGAAACTGTGTAGAGGGATATGGAAACACTGAAAGGATTGCCCCTCTCAGTAGTGGGAAAAGATGATCAAAATCAAAACCTTTTTGTGTTTTGTGACATTTCTAATATTTCACAGTTCTCTCTAGTTCTTTCGTAGGTGTAGATTCTTATCTTGGTCTCTTTTAGCAATTATTCTCAGTTGTATTATTTCTGGCACAGAATATATCTAGCCCCAAAAGAGAGCACATCAGTCATGCAATATTTAATGCTAGGTGACACTGGTTGACCCCACATGTGGCCCCGGGGAAGGGAGGGACTCTCCATTGTGTCAAAGATGCCTGCCGGGGAGCAGGAATGTGAAGCTGATTCAGCAGAGGCAGGGCAGATACTGTTCACCCCCTCCTTAAAGAATCATCCTGGCTCAGCCTGGCGCGGTGGCTTGTGCCTGTAATCCCAGCACTTTGGGAGACCAAGGCGGGCGGACCACAAAGTCAGGAGATCGAGACCATCCTGGCTAACATGGTGGAGCCCCGTCTCTACTAAAAATATAAAAAAAAATTAGCCGGGCATGGTGGCAGGCGCCTGTAGTCCCAGCTACTTGGGAGGCTGAGGCAGGAGAATGGTGTGAACCCGGGAGGCGCAGTGAACCAAGATGGTACCACTGCACTCCCGCCTGGGTGAGTGAGACTCCCCCTTAATAAAAAAAAAAAAAAAAAAGGATCAGCCTGGGTCGCCTCTTCTAGGCAGGTCACCATGTGCTTACCTCTATGGCATTAGTCGTCATCCAGTGTTAACAAGATAATAAGCCTTGTTTGAGTGCCTGTTTAGCTCCCATCCGCTCTGAGTCCTTAAGCAGAGGGTTCATGATTCATGCCTTTGTATTCCAGCCCTGAAGGTTTTTTGTTTCTTTCTTTGTTTTGTGAGTTTTTTTTTTTTTTTTTGGATTTAGTTGATATACAACTTTTTTTTTCTTTTTACATTTCAGAGGATTACACAATTACATTTTCTTACTTTCTGACCTGCAAACAGATACCTTAAATGGAATTTTAAAAAAATTGTCAAATTAGGTACATCCAAAATGCAACAATTACACATATGACAATTAATTCACAAAGTGCAGTTTTATTGGGACATATCCTAAGAATTTAGGAACAGCCAGTCAGGAGAAATCTGACCAAATTTAACAATCAGCTATTTACAAATCCAAAATCAAAACGGTCTAAATTCCCAAACCAGAAGCTTGAAAGTATTTATTAAATCCCCACTGGACAAAAGAGAGTGATGACTAACACCTACCCAGTCTTGACAGTTTTAACCCCAAATACTGGGCTGTTTCCCCAGTCTGTAACTGAATGGCAAGCATCTGTTTGTCAAATGCCTAACCACCTAACATTTACACCTTTATGAGCATAGAAAGGCTAAGTGTTCATTAATTAAAAAACAAGTAGTCATTACATATCCACACTATTGGCGAAACCCCATCTCTGCTAAAAGTACAAAAATTATCCAGGTGTAGTGGCAGACGCCTGTAATCCCAGCTACTCAGCCGGCTGAGGCAGGAGAATCACTTGAACCCGGGCGGTGGAGGTTGCAGTGAGCCGAGATCACACCACTGCACTCCAGCCTGGGCGACAAGAGTGAGACTTCATCTCAAAAATAAAAAATAAATAAAAAATAAAAAAAATCCACACTATTCCCCCAGCCCACCAAGCCCTTACTGCAATCCCAAATGTGCAATCTGTGTCATATAGTGACAGGCTATATTTCATACATACGTATAGATAAACAGGATTAGATAAAGATGGCAATTAACAATCCCTACAAAAATTCAGTTTCAGTTGAGGCGATGGCTCCTATGCCTTGAGATGGTTTTGGACTTCAAAACTGAAAAACGCTGCTAAAATCTCACTTCCTTAACACAAAAGTTGATTATATGTTCAGTTTAAGCTTCTCAGTCTAAAAAATGGCTATAAGGTAAGTATTAAAAAGCCAGCCATCCAGCCCTGCAGGTTTAACACCGTCAGTGACCACACATCGGTGCCCAGTGCATGTTTGCTGAAGGAACAAATGACCCAGAAAAGTTTTTCAGACTCCATGCCTGATAGAAGGGAGCTAGAGAGACTTTGAACAGAAAACCAGATTAGGGTGCCCCTTACCTGTGTTTGCAGCAGGCGTAACCAGTGAGCAATTACTGGAATCAGCCTCCTCAGGGAACCCCAGGTCACAACTAGGGAAAATGCAAGATCACTCATCTAAGCAGATGAGATAAAGCAAATCCAAAACAGAAAGGTAAATGAAATGCAGGCTTACCAGAATATGTAAAGCAATACTTTGTGCCTATGGCTGCTTTTTAAATAATTTTTATTTTTTTTTAATTCAAACTTTTTTTGAGGTCATTGTAGATTCATATGCAGTTCTAAGAACAGCGAGACCCTATGCACCTGTTACTCAGTTTCCCCCAGTGAAACTCTCGCAACGCTACAGTACAACAGCACAGTCAGGATACTGACATTGATATGATATCTTCAGATTCTGTGTTCTGGGCACCTCACCTGCCTGTCTGGTTCTGGCCCTGGAGATCACTCTTAAAATAGACATCTGGGAGGTACCCATTACTAGACTAGATTAATAGGGAGTCATGAGTTTCAAGCTAGGGAGTTTTAGGATTTTTAAGAAGGAGATGATTAGGTGGTTTGTTTCCAGGTTGCAAGTAGCCATGCCCATGATGAGGGTGAGGACAGAGCAGTGGTGCCCTAGTGATAGGATCTGCTGGAAGAGGACTTGGAGGCTCTAGGTGCATTCACCTCCACCAGCCAGCCTGGTGTCTGCATGGAGGAGCCAGGAGGGGATGGGTCCATCCAGGAGGGGATAGGGGATGCTCGGTCCTGGGGTGCTTGGATGGAATAAGATTTGAAATGGTGAGCATTAAACTAGACCAGCTATCTTACTGAGCAGGGATTCAGGGGCTCTGAAATGAGAGGGAAGAGGCGCCAGGGAGGCGAGGGAGGTTCATTTGAGCGGCTTTGTAGCAAAGCCATATGGCAGTGGGAGGGAGGTCAGTCATGCACAGCCTAGCTGAGTCCCTGGAAGGAAAGACGTGGTCCCTGGTGTGTGCACCTCTCCCTAATGCCGCCTCCTCATCACATGATAGCCGCCTCCGCAAAATACACAATAAAGTACCAGTTCCCCCAAATCACAGGTATTAGAGAAACCAGCCTCTGGGGGGCTCGGTTCCTGCAAGGACTGGCTTCAGAGGGACACCCAATTTACTATTCTTGCAACCTGGGTTGGACCTAAGGACGTGGGTGCTTCCCTGACTTCACTCTTGCATGTGGCTTGCTGTTGTTGTTTTGTTTGTTTTTTGAGATGGAGTCTTACTGTGTCACCCAGGCTGGAATGTGGTGGTACAGTCTCAGCTCACTGCAACCTCTGAGTCCCGAGTTCAGGCAGTTCTCCTGCCTCAGCCTCCCAAGCAGCTGGGATTACAGGCACCCACCAACCCGACCGGCTAATTTTTGTATTTTTAGTGGAGATGGGGTTTTGCCATCTTGTCCAAGCTGGTCTTGAACTCCTGACCTCAAGTGATCTGCTTGCCTCAGCCTCCCAAAGTGCTGGGATTACAGGCATGAGCCATGGCACCCAACCCATTCTTGTGTTTATAAAGAAATACTTTGTATAAAACCACCCACAGTTGTTTAAATTTCTCTTTCCAAGTGAAATGGGATTCAGCTAGAGCACTGAGGAGAACTTCTGTCCCCTCTGACTCCTTCCAGCAAGAGGGAGGTTAAAAGCCAGGACCCAAACCAGTGCCACAGGAGCTGTGGACTGCATCCAAATGCTGTGGGACACCTAGGGGGCAGAGACGTCACCCCCGACAGCAGGCGGCTGTGCAGGAGATGTGCTGGGTTTGTGCCTGGGAAAGGGAGTCTGGCTACCAGCCTGCAGGGCTTCTGAGCCCATGGGGCCTGTGCAACCTCAGGTGGTGGGACTCCCTCAGCTTCTAGCACCACAAAGACAATCAAAGAACGTGGCAGGAAAAGAAAAGGTGCTTTTGAGGGAAAAGGAGCATAAGAAAAAATGACGGCACATGAGGGGTTTATGATCTCAACCCAAAATACTGTGTCAGCAGAGAGGCCCTGGCCGGGCCCTGCTGAGAGCTAGAGCTGTCCTCCCTTGGCCCAGGCCTCTGTTGCTATGGCTGTTTGGCAATTCTTACTTCTTCATAACTATAATTACCTGACTTCAGAGGAAAACAAAGGGAGGGTCAAAGAAAAATTGGGAAAGAAAATCCATATGCACGGCTGGCAGGACACTGTGAATTGGAATTTCTGCCAAGAAGTTGTGTGCAGGTGTATCCATTTGAGTACATGTGTGCAGATGTGAGCACCAGTGTCTGTGTGTCTGAGGGTGTGTGTTTATGTTTATATGCGTGTGTATACGTGTATGTGTATGCATGTGTCTGCCTCTGAGTGTGTCTGCAGTGTGACTATGTGTGTGTATGTGCATGTACGTGTCTCTGGGTTTTCCATGGTGACTGTGACTTTGTGCGTGTGTACGTGTAAGTGTGTGCATGCATACGTCTGAGGGGGTGAGCAGATGGGTGTCGGGGTGTGCAGAATGGAGCAGAAGCAAAAAGAGAACCAGAAGCAGGATCCCTAAGCAGAGGGCTGACGCAGAAGTAGATGTTAAGGCACTATGCTCTCAGCGGGGGGGTGCCAAAGTCCAAAATCAAAATGCCCCCATTTTCTTGCTGTGACATTTGCTGGGAACCAAGAGCCCAATGCCAGCATCTGGTGGACAGCTTGGTCCTTTCCCTCCGGCAGAAGTGAGGAGGTGCAGTCCTTCAGCCTAAATGCCTTGACAGCTGGGTTCCCTTCTGCAAGGAACCCAGCCTCCAGATTTTCCCTTTTCCCCACTTCTCCACATCTTGGTGATGCAAGAGTTTAGCATCCCTGGCCACAGCACGCTAAAAGCTGCTGCACTTCTGCTTTGGTTGCACGGGGCTTTCAGGTTTTAAAGCGGGCACTGGAAACCTTTCAAAGGTTGCCAGTCAAGTTGCCATTTTTGCCTTTCTGTTAGGGTAATGGTGTGTGTATGTGTGTGTGTAGAAGGAGAAGCTGAGAGACAAATGACACTAACCTTCAAGAAACAGGCAGAGGGACATAGAAACAACAACCGTCCCTCACCTTCATGTTTCTAAAAACCCTCCTGCTGTTGTCTTCACCAGCTTCATATCTAGGTCAAGTGATTTAGGGCCAGGCTACACTGTTTCTAGCCATAGGAAAGTCAGTGTGTCGGTCAGCTACTGCCACAAAGACACTGGGCAAATATTATGCCAAAGCTGTGTTACGATTTATTTCATGACATTATTTTATTTATTTTCAACAACTGGGCTGACCTAGTCAGCTGCTCCCTTACAGAAGACTGGGACCGTCTTGGAGACAGGGGTTCAAGGTGTGCAAGGGACTTCAGCAGAGGGACATCAAAGGCTGGTTTTGGAGACTGAGGGGTCACAGGACAAGGAAGTGGCAGCCTCCAATTGCTAAGGGTGGCCCCTGGCTGACAGTCCTCAGGGAAACAGGGACCGCAGTCCTGCAGCACAAGGAAGAAATTCTGCCAAGAACCTAAATGAGCTTGGAAGCAGATTCTCCCCCAGGGCCACGTGTGTGAGTGTGAGTTGAAGATAGCAGACACCCTGATCTCAGTCTTTTTTTTTTTTTTTTTTTTGAGACAGAGTCTCTCTCTGTGCCCAGGCTGGAGTGCAGTGGCACAGTCTCGGCTCACTGCAAACTCTGCCTCCCAGGTTCACACCATTCTCCTGCCTCAGCCTCCCAAGCAGCTGGGATTACAGGCGCCATGCCCAGCTAATTTTTTGTATTTTTAGTAGAGATGGGGTTTCACCATGTTAGCCAGGATAGTCTCGATCTCCTGATCTCGTGATCCATCCACCTCGGCCTCCCAAAGTGCTGGGATTACAGGCGTGAGCCACCGCGCCCGGCCCTGATCTCAGTCTTGTACCACCCTGAGCAGAGAACAGAGCTGAGCCCTGCCTGGGCTTCTGACTAACAAACCTGTGAACTAATATATGGGTTTTGTCTTATGTGGCTGTTTTGGTGGTAATTTGTGACACAGCAATACAGTCTGGCTACCTTATTTGAAGGAGAAAGAAAAAAATACTGAGGGAGCAAAATACAAATTAATATCTTACTGGGTTAGCCTGCACACCTGAATTGATACCTGGTCTCCCACAATGGATAGAAATTGCTTGCCTAACTTATCATACCTTCACCAGCATTGAGTTTTATAACTTTATTTCAATGGTTGACAAACGAAAATGTCAACTCATTGTTATTTCAATTTGCATTTCTTTGACTTCTAGTGAGACACACCCCTTTTCCTAGAATTCTTAGCACAGTGGCTGTCAGGAGCAGGCTTTCTTAATTTTTGTAGCTGGATGGATTTTCCATTTACCTTTTACAGTTAATTTCTCTGTTTCTACAGAACTTCCTACTCGTTAGGTACTTTATAAATATATGCTGAATAAATGTTCAAATTAATAAGTACTGAACGAAGAAACGAGTCTTCAACACCAGGCAGGGACTTTTGCTGCTGAGAAATGGAGTGTCTTGGTGACAGGACAGGACTTTAGAGTGGCCCAGGGAATCCCAGCTCTGTAAAGCAGGGGCCCTCCTGACATTTAACCTTCCTCCGCCATGTCAGCCTGTGAGGTAGGTGGCCAAGCAGTGGCCATTGAGGAAGAAGCAGTTACGGAGCAGACGAAGAGCTGAGTGTGGAAGGGGAGTTGGAAGTCACCGTGGACAGATGGCTGCAGCCAGTCTGTTTGCTCTGGGCTGAATGGTTGAGAACTGGGGACATGGTGGCTGCTTTAGTCCACTGCTTTATGTCATGAAAGATATAAGATTAGGTCAGAGTTACGATTTGTTGGGAAATACTTTTTTTTTTTGAGATGGAGTCTTGCTCTGTCACCCAGGCTGGAGAGCAGTGGCACCAGCTTGGCTCACTGCAAGCTCTGCCTCCTGGGTTCACGCCATTCTCCTGCCTCAGCCTCCCATTTGAGACAGAATCTTGCTCTGTCACCCAGGCTGGAGTGCAGTGGCACCATCTCAGCTCACTGCAACCTCCGCCTCCCGGGTTCAAGAGATTATCCTGCCTCAGCCTCGCAAGTAGCTGGGACTACAGGTACCCGTCACCACGCCCGGCTAATTTTTTGTATTTTTAATAGAGACAGGGTTTCCCCATGTTGGCCAGGATGGTCTCCATCTCCTGACCTCATGATCCACCCACCTCGACCTCCCAAAGTGCTGGGATTACAGGTGTGAGCCACCATGCCTGGCCAGAAAATACTTATTATTTCTTTTCGACAAGTTCACTTGTTTAGACACTTATTTTAAAAGTAACATATTTGCTATTTAAAATACTTCAAACAGTTTATGAGTGCAGTATATATTTTTTAAGGCAAGAGAAATCTTTTCACCCCTTAATCTCACTTCCTCCAATAGTGAGCTTTGATTTATACACATAATGTTGAAAGAAAAATGGATCGACCGGCACAGTGGCTCACATCTGTAATCCCAGCACTTTGTGAGGCTGAGGAGGAGAGAACACAAGGTCAGGAGATCGATACCATCCTGGCTAACACGGTGAAACCCCGTCTCTACTAAGAAAAATACAAAAAATTAGCCAGGCGTGGTGGCGGGCGCCCGTAGTCCCAGCTAGTTGGGAGGCTGAGGCAGGAGAATGCGTGCACTCCAGCCTGGGCGACAGAGCAAGACCCCATCTCAAAAAAAAGAAAAAGAAAAAGAAACAGAGAAATGGATCAAGGATCAAGTTGTATGTACTGCCTGCAATGTATTTTGTTTTCACATAACAAAATATCATGGATATATTTTCATAGACACAGATTTCAGATCAGGAACTCATGATCCATAGACTCCCAAAGGTCTCCATGGATATACTTGAGAATCTCATGGGCCCTGAATTTATATGTACATCTTCAAGGGCTTGCAGGCATTCCGTAAGTATCAAGGCATTCTATCAACCCAAAGATATAAAAATCAAACAGCCCCATACCATTTTCAAGTCTTTTTTTTTTTTTTTTTTAACATTGCTGTGCCTTTTATGAAATTACCTCTAAATGCTGAACACCCTCAAGTTTAGCATCTCTAATTCTGTAACCTACGCAAGCCTTGTTGTTTATCTGGGAGATTAAGAGTATTTATTAAGTCAAAGCAGCGATAAAAAAGCCCAACTTGTTTTGCCCCTTTCCTCTCTTCCCTCCCATATGTCTGAGCAGGGGACACTGGGGGCTCTTGGGAACTCATTTTAGATTTGTCTATCTGTCTTGGTCTTGTTGCTGACT